ACACCCTCCTTCCCGCCCCGGAGCCCCCTCATTCCCGGGAGCCGGGCGGGGCTCCCTCTGTGATCCCGGGGGCCCGCTGGGCGTGACGTCACCGTCACCATGGCAGTGGCTCCACCAGCCTGGTGTCTGGGATGGGACACGCCTGGATGAAGCTGGGTGACTGGGGAGGCGGATGGAGTGCTGGGGGGCTTCAGGCCGCGTCCGAGGCTGGTCACAGAGAGGACCAGTCATGCCTCGCCGACCTCGTCTTGCCTTAGAACTTTCGGAGGACCTCGAAATGGGGATTTGAAGGAGAAACAAAAGCGTACCTACGACGAGGGAAGGAAGCGTTCCGCTGTGTGGTTTTCACGGCTGTGTGTGTGTCGTTCAAATTATTTCTGGGGTCTGTCACGCTAACCTCCTTGTTTTCTTAAAGATCTGCAACACCAGCGCCTCCCCCAGCCCAGGGGAGCCCCCGTCTGATGGGGCGGCACAGCGCCTGGACACTTGGGAACGTTCAGGCTCGATGGGGACACACTCCCACTTTCCCGCCCAGCAGGTGCGGGAGCCCCAGGTCCTGTCCCTCCGTGTGAGTTTTCTGGAGTGGGTTGTGGACGTGTGTGCTTCCGGAAAGCTGGGCAGACCGCACAGTGGCTTCTTCGTTCACACTGTGGTTCCAAAGCTCTTATCTTCATTTTTAAGTGACCTGCGCTTGTTATTCATTCCGAGAGATTCAGCTTTCGTGTTTCCTCGGTCCTCAGCCTGGCAGGGTCCCACCCAGAGTTGGGCAGAGCAGGGTCCCCATGGAGAGCTCCTGGGAAGGGACCAGGAGGTGAAGGCCTTTGGGGTGGGGGTGACAGCACTTCTCAACGCCTGCCTGGATGTGTCAGATAGGAATGTGTAGGGCTGCACCTAAGGGGAAAGCCCACAACCAATGGGGTTTATTTTGCTCCTGTTATAAGGAGCCCTGGCCTGGGTGGTGCCATCAGGGGTCCAGGCCCCTTCTGTCTGTCTTTCTATCCCCCATTTTCAGCTCATGTCTTTGTCCTTGTGCTCACAAGACGGCTGCTGTGCCTCAGGATGTCACATCCGTGTTCCCAGCAGGAAGAAAAGGGAAGGGCAAAAGGCGAGAGTTACTGCCAGTGTACTGTTACATTTTCTATAAAGAAAACAGTGGGTCTCCGCGTAGATTTCCATGTACGTCTTTAGTGGCGAAAACTGTGACAATGCCCCCTCTAGCTACAAAGGAGCTTGGAAGTTGAGTGTTTTAGCTGGGCACAAACAAAATTGGGGTTCTCTTGGTAAGGAGGAGGGTGGGTGGAGACTAGTGTCATCCATGTGTGTATGGGTTTGTCTCCTCTATCAGATCGTGAACCACCAAAAGGTGAGGACCATGTCTGGTTCGTCCCTGTGCCCCTCACAGCAGCGAGCATGGAGCCTGGCTCACAGAAGGTGCTTAATTCAACAGTTTGCTGGGAGCTCTCGCCCTCCTCTTAGGGAGGAGCTACTAATCTGAAGGCAGAGGGCCAACACTTGCCCTCAGGGAGCCCCTAGTCAACTGGGGGAGGCATGGCCCCGTGCCCCACCACCAAGGCTGCCAACACACAGACGTATGCACAAGTACACGCAGCCCTCCACTGACTGACAGAACAGTGGCACTCATAGCTTCTCTAGCACACACAGATGGTGCAGGGATGGAGCAGCGAGCAGATCGTGGAGGCCAGCAAGAGGCCACAACGTCGCCCCCTCCAAGGCCATTGGGCAAAAGGCCCAGGGATCCTATGGAGAAGGGGGTGGTCCCCTCCCCACAGCCTCCAGGCGCCAAGAGCAAAGTCTGGCGTTCGGTTCTCATCCAGATGGGGCTAAAGAAGGAGGCAAGTCGGAGCCCACGGGGGGTTAATTTCCAACCAAATGGCAGAGACATGCCCCCCACAACTGGGGCGGAGGACTCGCCTGAGGCTCCCCTGGGAAGCCACAGTGGTGACTTTTTTGGGTCAGTGGCCCCCCCCAGGAGCCACTCCCCTCGATGGGGCTTCCTCTCGTTCTCATGCCCCGCCTGTCTGACGCCCGCCTGAGACTGAGTCAGGTGCCACCTCTGCCAGGTACCGGCCGTGCGGCCTGGGTTTCCTCCTCTGTAAAACTGGATGATAAAAATCCCCGCCTGCCACCTCTGTCACAGGAGTGCAGCAGGATCGGGATTGGATGAGAGAGTGCTGGTGGGAATTTCTGATTCCCCAGTGACAGGTGGGCCCAGCTCTTTGTAAGATTCTTTCTGGCCTGGTTGCATCTTTAGATGTTGGGTTTTCTTAAAATGAGGTTCACCAGTAATGTGGCCACATCATGTTCTCCAGGCTCAAAACTAGCCCCGCTCTGCCCGCCTCCCACCCTCCCCTGGGGCCTGGCGGGCCACCTCTGCTGGACAGGAGAGAGAAGCAGACGAGTCCTCTCTCGGTGGGCTCTGCTGTCCTGGCCCTTTAAGGTCCTGGCTCGGCAGGCCTGGAGTTCCTGCCCTGGTGCCCTGAGTTGCTGCTCCACCAGGCCGCCATGAAGAGGACAGGTCCAGCCGTGGAGAGGGACGCTCAAAGCTGGAATTTAAAGGGCCGTCCCCACATGGCTCCCTGCACCTGGTGACATGGCCCTGCCAACCTGCCTCCACCCTGTTCTACCGGGGGGACGGGGGCAAAGGGCAGGAGGGTGGAGGAGGCCCCCACAAGGCCAGAAGGTCGTCAGCTTATGTTGGGCGCCAGGCCAGGAGCTCAGCAGCTCAGACTCTCGTGGTCATAGGCTAGGGTTGGATGTCAGGACGGGATGGGGTGGCACAGCCATGCCTGCCCCATCTCACTGCCCTCAGCTAGCCCTGGGGCCGGGACCCTCCAGGCTGTGGGGGCTTCACCCACAGAGGCAGCAAAATGTGGGGTCAAGTGTGTGGGCTCTGGGGTCAGACATGGCTGTGTGACTTTGGGCAAATGACCTAACTACTCTATGCCTTCTCAGGCTGGAAGCGTCCGGAGCCGAGAAGTAGCTTGGCCCCTCTCCCCGCATTCTCCACAGTTCCCTCCCTGGTGTTCTCTCCAGGGAGGGCACCGAGTTCTGGGGGCTCTGGGAAGAGGCAGTGGAGAGCCTGCAGCTAGAGCCTGCCCTGAGCAAGGCCCTTCTATTTGCCGATGAGCCAGTGATGTGAGGAGAAAGAGTCTGGGGGCAGCAAAATTCACACTGCCTCGGCAGGAGGCTGCCTGGGGTCTGGGGCACCGTGTGTGTGTGTGTGTGTGTGTGTGTGTGTGTGTGTGTGTGTGTGTGAACAACTTTATTGAGACATAATTCACATATCATACAAGTCACCCATTTACAGTGCACAGTTCAGTGGTTTTCATCATATTCACAGGGTTGTGCATCCATCACCACGATCAGTATTAGAACGTTTTCATCACCTCCAAAAGAAACCCCGTGCCCTTTAGCTAACACCCCCGTATCCCCAGCCCCTGGCCCTTCTGCCACCGCCTGCCCTAGGCAACCACTGGTCTCCTGCCTGTGGATCTTCCGTGTACATGGAATCAGACAACACGCGGCCTTTGTGTCTGGCTCCCTTCACTTACCGTAACGTCGTCACGGTTCATCCGTGCGGTAACCTGTAGCAGTGCTGCTCTCTATTGTCGAATAATAATCCAGGCACGGATAGGATATATACTACATTTTTTGTAATTCACTCATCAGTTTGGACGTGGGCTGTTTCATCTTTCGGCTGTTATGATGAACGCTGCTGTGACCATTTCTGTATGCGTTTTTGTGTGGACGTATATTTCCGTCTCTCGGGTATACACCTAGGGGTGGAGTTGCTGGATCATAGGGTGACTTTCTGTTTCATCCCTGGAGGTGCCGTCAGGCTGTTTCCACGGCGGCTGCACCATTTCCATTCATTCCGTCCACACCCCTGCCAGCACTTGTTCGTGTCTGTCTTTTTTGTTGTAGCCGTTCTAGGAAGTGTGAAGTGGTGTCTCATCGTGGCCCTGACTGGCATTTCCCTGAATACTATTGATGTCAAGCACCATTTCATGGGCTTATTGGCCATTTCTTGGAGAAATGTTTACTCAGATCCTTTGCCCATTCTTTTAATTGGGTTATTTGTCTTTTTATTATTGAGTTGTAGGAGTTTTTCATGTATTCTAGATATAAGCCCCTTCTCAGATGCGTGATGTGCAAATATTTTCTCCCATTCCCTGGGTTGTCTTTTTACTTTCTTGATGGTGTCCTTTGAAGCACAAAAGTTTCTAATTTTGATGAAGTCTAATTTACCTCTTTTTTCTTCTGTTGCTCATACTTTTGGTGTCGTATCTTGCTGTGTGGTTTTTTTTCGTTTTTGTTTTTTGCTGAGGAAGATTGGCCCTGAGCTAACATCTATACCAATCTTCCTCTATTTTGTATGTGGGTCGCCGCCACAGCGTGGCCGACGAGTGGTGTAGGTCCACGCCTGGGATCCGAACCTGTGAACCTGGACCGCTGAAGTGGAGCATGCTGACCTTAACCGCTAGGCCCTGGGTGCAGCCCCTTGCTGCGTGTTTTTACTGAAATACTTTCCCTGTGGGGGAAATGGGGCAGATGATGGACTGTTGGGCTGGGCTGAGTTGTTCTGTGGGCCCAGAGTGGGCCCTGGGGGTTCAGTTCAGCAGAGAATCAGGGGCCCCGTCAGCTTTCTGGGCTGTGGGGTCAGGTACTCCCCAGGCCTCCAGCTGTTCCACACCCGGGACCTAGCCAGTTCAGGGTGGGGAAAGATGTTTTTGTCAAGGACTTGCTCCCCTGGTTTGATCAATAAAACAGAGGTGAGACTAGGGACTGTAGGGACAGACAGGCCTCGGTTCGAATCCTGGGAGTGTCGCTGAGTACTGTGGGACCTTGGGAGAGAAGCTTCATCCTTCTGAGCCCTGTCTCTTCATCAGTTAAAAAGAGGACAGACGCAGGGTCCCTTCTTTGCATTCGGGGTGACAGCCAGCCAGGATCCGGGAACTAACTCGCTCTTCTGTCCCCAGCCATGAAAGCCGACCGGAAGCGCCTAAAGGGCGAGAAGACGGACCTGGTGAGCCAGATGCAGCAGCTGTACGCCACGCTGGAGAGCCGCGAGGAGCAGCTCCGCGATTTCATCCGCAACTACGAGCAGCACCGCAAGGTGGGCCCACTCCACCCCCAACCCCCGCGCCACCCCCCACCCCCAGCCCCACCTGCAGGCCGCCTGCCCGGCCCAGCACAGTCTGGCCTCTCAGATCCCAAAACCCAGACGCACTGCTCATGTCACCTTGTGCTCTCTTGGGGAAGCCTCTCATGTGTCCGGCCCAGGCCTGGGCACCCAGGGGAAACTAGCACAGCCCCTGGTTGGGGGGCTGCATGCCTCCTGGGCAAACAAGCCCGGACAGGATGGCCCTGTCGGTGACAGCGTGGACTCTGGATTCCACTGGCCTGGGTCCCATCCCAGGTCCCCATGTGTGTGCCCTTGGGCGTCTCTCTCGACCTCTCAGAGCCTCAGTTTCCTCACCTGCAAAACAGTGGTCATGGTGCAGACTTGCAGACCTGTGAGGAAGACCATATGAGGTGATAAACACAGAGTGCTCAGCGTGGCGCCTGGTGCATAGTAAGCGCTCAGTAAATGTTAGTTATGCATCTTATTAATAATTCCACAGTAAAGGTGTGAAGAGAGAGCTGGGGAGTACCAGTAAGACTCCAGGAAATTCTGCCTGCAGGGAGAGAGTCTTAGAGGGCTTCACAGAGGAGGTGACATATGAGTTGGGCTCTGTGGGATGAGTAGGAGTTTATGGTCAGACGACTGAGGAGTTTGGTTCAGCTAATATGTGTCTGGTATATGTGGTGTGGACATGGTGCAGAGGGTACCGAAACTTAAAGAAACAGTCAGTCCTCCCAGCCAAGCAGGCCTCCGTGAGCTACTATCTGCAGAGAGAGAGTTGTAACCTTCTGTGTGCAGGGCAGAGAACTGTTGAAAACCACTCTTCAAGCACATGACACCACATGACCTGGGCCGTGACCGAGGATCACGTGGCCATGGGGAAAAAGCTGGAGGGGGAGGTTTGTTCAGCTCGAAGCTTCTCTGGCGATGGAAGGTTTGAGCAGGTCTTCGAATGGTTGGTGGCGGTGGGCCCGTTACATGAGCGTGTTGCTGTGTGTTGTCTCTGAGCTGGAGTTGAGACACCGAAGTGTCAGAGGTGGAATTTGAATTTAAGTGCTTCGTCCCCTGGCCCACTGTGGTCTTCACCAGTGACCCTCCCTGTCACGTCCCGAGCGTGCAGATCGCCCTCTCCGTGATGAGAACAGCCCCCGGAGAGCCCCCTGGGCCAGGCCGCCCACAGCCTGCCTGCGGTCTGGAGCTTCGGCTGCCCTGGGCGCCGGTCCTGAGCCGCGGGCCCCGGCTTCCCCTGCCTGTGTCCTTCCACGGTGGGTGAGCCGGGCCCCTTTGGAGTCGGCCTCCCGTGCCTGCCGCTCACAGATGGGGCGTGGCAGTGAGCAGACGACCTGTGGCAGCAGAGGAGGCACAGGAACCCGCTGCTGCCAGCTTCCTCGGTCCTCATCTGGGTCGCAGACTCCTCGCTGTGTCCTCCCATGGGGGAAGGGTGAGGGAGCTCTGGGTGTTGGGTGTCACGTCGGGTGTTAGGATTCCGGCATGTGACTTTAGGGGGACACAGACGTTCAGACTGTAGCAGGACCTGCCTCTCCCGGTCCACCCCTCCTCTCTCCTCCCCCCGCTGGAGGGGCCGTAGCAGGGCCCAAGGGAGCCTGGTCCTTCTTCCACATGAGGCAGGGAGAGTGCCCATCAGCAGGGAGACCTCGTCACCCTTGTCTGAGGGGTGGGGACACGGGGCAGGGGCTGGAGAACCAGCCTGCGGCCTTACCTGATGTGTAGCCCCCAGGGGAAGGGGGCAGCCCCCAGGCGGACCCTGCACACGGCTTGTCCCCAGGTCGTCAGCTTCCTTGGTGTGTTAGTTAGGGTTCTCCAGAGAAGGGATATATATATATATACACTTGAAGACTTATTATCAGGAATTGGCTCAAGCAATTATGGAGGCCGACAAGTCCCACCATCTGCCTCTGCAAGCTGGAGACCTGGGAGAGCCGGTGGTGCCGTCCAGTCTGAGTCCAAAGGCCTGAGGCCTGAGGCCTGGAGAGCCGCTGTGAGTGCCGGTCTGCGGGGAGGAGAAGGCCGGTGTCCCAGCTCAACCACCAGGCAGGGAGAGAGCACTTTCTCCCCGCCGTGCCTTCTGTGCAGCCCCTCAGTGGACTGGAGGGAGGACGCCCCCACACTGGGGAGGGCCATCTATCGAGTCCACCAGTTCAGATGCTAATGTCATCAGGAAACACCCCAAGACACACCCAGAAATAATGTTTACCAAATATCTGGGTACCCTGTGGTCCAGTCAAGTTGACACATAAAATTCACCATCACATTCGGCCTGGGAGGCAGGGGGCCAGTGGTTAAGACCGGACAGCAGGATTGGAATCTCACTTCTGTACTCACCAGCCATGTGGCGGTGTCCCTAAAACCTGGATAATGACAGCAACTACCCGGAGCCCCGTGTTGTCAGCACTAATGTTTCTGGTACACAGAAGACAAGCTGAGGGAAACAATGCCTGTTGTTATGATTATTATTATTGCCTCTGGGGATGCAGAGTCAGGTGTTGGTTTGATCGTGGAAGTTCTGCAGTGGACTTCAAGGCCCTTCCAGGCCCCATATTACCACTGTGCGGTGTTGGTCCCACTGCAGCCCCAGAGAAGCACACGACCGCCTGCCCTCAGGAAGCTCCCAGTCAGGCAGGACAGGCACGGCTGGTCCCACGCAGACCCCGCTCGTGGGCCCTGCCTCCGGAGGATGGCAGTCTCGGCGGAGAAGCAAGAACCATGCAGAAAAGCAACCCAGACAAGACCTGCTGGGAGGATCAGAGGGTCTCAGAGGACCCAGGAAGTGGGGGTGCGGGAAAGCGTTCCCAGAGAACATACACCTCGAAGGAGGACAGATCCAGGTTGGGAAGAGCCGCGAAGGCGCGTGTGCTGATGAACGCTCAGAGGATCCAAAAGACGGCGCCCTTACCAGCTGTTCACCCTGACAGATTATGACGATGGCCATCTTCAGAGGCCACCTTAGCGGGGACTGACACAGGATGATGCACTTACTGTGCACCTGCTGTGTGCAGGCACGGCTCTTAACTCTCTACATTTGCTCTTTTAGAAGCAGCCCTGTCAGGTGTGATTGTCCCGATTCTCCCCACTTCACAGAGGCACAGACTGAGACTCAGGTAAAGTCACTTGCTCAGGGTCACACAGTTATGAAAAGGGGGAGGCAGGAGACAAACCCAGGCGTTCCGGCTCCAGAGCCCCCTCCGGTGACCGCTCGCCCGTGCTGGCCTCCCACGCACTGCCCAGAATGTGTTTCCATGAACAAGCGCGTTATTTCTGCCTTTCAGTGTTTGCAGGGCGACCCAAGGCAGACCACAAGAAGAGGACGTGGCCGCCCCCGTGAGCACTGGGTGGTGTGCTGGGCATCTCAGAGGCACGGTGGCCAACCTAGGGTTTAACAGCAAACACTTCTCCTGCTTTCAATAGGATGTCAAATTTGTTTTTTATAATTGTGCTTTTTCTTGGGAATAAGATTCCCATGGAGAGCCACCTTCCCCCGGCACCATGTCACCTTTTCTAAATCACGGGTCACTAGGGGCATCCCCTGAGTCCAGCCAGCGTGGGGGTGGGGTTGAAGCTCTGAATAAGTGGAAGCCTGGTAGCTGTGGCTGTGGGCACCCACGGATGGCCACAGCTGAGCGTCAAGCGCGCTCTTCGAGAATGGCTTCACAAGACCCTTCAGATTCATTCAGAAAAATGGAATTTGGAAAACACTCAGTTTTTAAAAATGACTATCTTAAACCTTGGTGTTATGGAGAGAGTCACTGCTGTACTTCCAGCGTATCAGTGGAATGGCAACCTTGTGACAATCTTTAATCGTTGTTGGGTCCAATCCCATTTTACAGATGGGAGGATTGGAGCTCTGAAGGGTCCAGTGACTGACCCAAGCCCACGTATTTAGAGCTACTTTAGAAAGCTAAAGCCACAAGTCCTGGTTTTATTCCGCCTCCTCCAAGATCTTGCAACTGGTTAAAAAAAATGACTTGCATTTTCTGTGCAAGATAAATGTCCCCATGAACAGGATTAATGGAACTCTCAGGCTCCCCACCACACTCGGCCCCAGCCACTCAGCCTGCCCTGGCCCACCCAGCTCCCCCTGGGGACCCCTGCAGGCCTCACCTGAAGCAGGTAGCAGGATCCCAGGTCTCTGAGCTGCCGGGGAGGCAGGGAGGGGTCTGCACAGGCACAGGCTGCTGAGAAATGAGGAGTTTGGGCCTGTCCGGAAAGTTCACAGAATTGCAACATCCTGGAAAGCTGCGCCAAATGCACATTCCCTGTCACATGGGTGCGGTTTGGGGGGACTCAAGGACTCGCCATGAATCCAGCTGTGGAAGTTCTCACAGCGAGCCGGGCGGCCAGGCTGGGGGCCGAGGGCTGGACGCAGGGCGATCTGGAGTCACGAGGCCGCTGTCGCAACAGGCCACCTTCATCCTGCCTGCCATCGCCTCCCCGGCTGGATCTGTATTCTCTTGCAGTCCCCTCCTCACCGCGCCCCTCCCCTCTTCTGTCAGGGTGAGCCCCACGCGCCGGCAGGCCAGAACAACCTTGGGGTCCAAACCTCCCTGATGGGGCTCCTTTCTGCTCCTTTCCTGCCTCAGTTGCCAGCAAGGATGGAGACCTCTCCCATACTCTCTGTGGGGCTGGGGACGTTGTTGCACCTCTCTGGCCTCAGTTTGCTCATCTGTCAATAGGGATGATCATAGTCACTACCTCATGGGTGGTTGTGCAGTTTAATAGAATGATGCTCCTAAAACCCTCAGCACTGTACTTGACGTGTGTACAGAACATTCCATGACAGCTGCTGGTGAGCCCTGCTGTCCTGCTGCCAGGGAATGTGGTCATGGAAGGGGGTGTCAGAGTCTTCACTGAGACTGAAAGCGCCTACAGGCCTTGCCTCCTTGGTCTGCTCATGACCAGTGGAGCCAGTGACTGCAAAGAGATGTAGAGACAAAAACGATCCTGAGGGTCCTAGTGGACCTTCCTCCTAACTCAGGGACATTTTGTAAGCAGCCTTTTGTACACCAGCCAGTTCTAAGAGATGGTCCTTACCCAGTTATATACACTTCATTTCCTGGGCCCTTCCAGGATCTAAGCTACTGGGCACTGGGGGCAGATGCCCAGGACGTGGCTCAGCCCCTGGGGAAGGAGCTCCCCCTCCAGGTGGGCACTAGAGAGTCCATGGTGTGACCCAGGGGGCTATGCCTGTCACCTGTTGCGCTGACCCCACCTGCACACAGCTGCAGAAAGAAAGAAGGAGAAACGCGCAGCGGTGGCGTGCCTGCCGCACTGCGAGTCTCGCTCCGTCTGTGATTTTGTAATTGTGCCGCCTCTCGCTTTGTATCTGGCGTCCCCAGGTTCTTCTGACCATCACCCTGGGCTGCGGTGTCGTCGCCGTCTCACAGATGAGGTGGTCGAGGTTTGGGGAGTAAATAACCGGGCCATTGTCCCCGAGCTTGCAACAGACTGAAATGAGAATCACACCGGGCGTCCTGGCCCCAAAGTGCGGGCGCAGCGACACGTCCTGGGAGGCATCGTCCCCGCGCCGCCTCCGCTAGACCACACTGAGAGGCCGCGGCTGGTGCACAGAAAGCACGTCCTCCCCTCACCCCGGTCGTGACTGCTGTCATAGGCTGGTGTTCGTGGTCAGTCACGGCAGGCACGATGGACTCGTTCACTTATTCAGCCGTGTTCCTTGGCTGCTCTTTGCCAGGCTGCTGTGCTGGGGCGTGTGCCGTGAACTGAAGTGGCAGGCTCTGGGCTCACGGAGCACACAGTAGGGCTCTTCGGCGGAAGCTCCGTGGGCGCAGGGATTTCTGTCTGGTTTATGCCTGCTGATGGCACCCACGATTGTTGGCTGAATGACCAGTATCAGGTGCCAATACGAAAAATGGGTTGGAGAGAGCCTGGGCCGCTCTCTTAGATGGGTGGTCAGGGAAGGCCGCTCGGAGAAGACATCTGAGCAGGGACCTGAGTGCAGTGAGTGAGCCCCTGCTCTGTGCCTGGTGTCAAGCTGTGCATTATCTCATTCAGCCCTCACAGTAACCCCCTAAAGCACACGTGGTACTATCCCTGTTACAGATGAGAAAACTGAGGCACAACAGTCATGCAGTTCGTCCTTGCAAAGCCAGGATTCACCCCAGAATCTCTCTCTCTCCCCCTGGAACCTAAGCCACAGCCACAGAGAAAGGCCAGTGTCTCTTTCAGCCTCCTGGTTTCTGGCCGTCTGGAAGTCAGGCCTTTGGTGACAGGGTTGTTAGACGAGGGAGGACGGCCGCCTCTCTCCAGGGTCCCAGGGCCCAGGTGGCATGGAGACCTGGAGTTTGGTTCTTGATTTGGTGAATGGGAGAACCATGGGCAGGAGGGTAGCAGGGACCCTTCCTCTTGGGAAGGACGCCTGCTGTTCTGGAAGTTGGTTCTTCCCAACAGAGGCCACACCCCTGATGCAGCCCTCTGCTCCTGGCCGGCTGGCTTTGCCCCGGAATGGTGCTGCTGGAGCCCTGGTCCCTGCCCTCTGCATCACGGAGGAAACAGCTCACAGGAGGACCGGCCACGAGCAGGGCCGGGGTGACTCGCAGGGGACGGTGCTGCATTCAGACGTGGCAACTGGTTGGGGGCTCAGCCTGTTGGTCATTGGCTGTGACCTCGTGGGGTGCTGGCAGGACCCCATGGCAGCCAAGGCTACTGGGCTGCAGGTGTCCCCTTCTGTCCCTGTTTTCCTGTGACACACACGATACCAAACAACAATCGACCCTAGCTTTCGCCAGACTCTCCTAAGTATTTCCCTCACATGAAGGCATTTCATCTTTATAACAATTCTTTGAAACAAGTAGTATCGACCACCCCCCCCCATTTTAAATATGGAGAAGCCGAGACTTGATGAGGTAAAACAACTTACCCCGACATTCATTGGCTCGCTCATTCATTGAAAACAGATTTACTGAGCGTCTCCTAAGGGTCTGTCTCTGTTCCGGTCCCCCGGCCCGTTTGGGGCAGAGCCGGGATCCGAACCCGGGGCTTCCTCACTGCAGAGCTGCAGCGCCTAGCAAGTGCCGCGGGGCCTCCCGCTCTCCCCTGCCCCCCGGCCCGGGGTCAAGCCCCTCCGGGTCCCTCCGGGCAGCGGGGAGCCCCGAGCCCCGCCGTGACGGCCCGCGCTGTCTCCACAGGAGAGCGAGGACGCCGTCAAGGCTCTGGCCAAGGAGAAGGACCTGCTGGAGCGCGAGAAGTGGGAGCTGCGGCGCCAGGCCAAGGAGGCCACGGACCACGCCACGGCGCTGCGCTGCCAGCTGGACCTCAAGGACAACCGCATGAAGGAGCTGGAGGCCGAGCTGGCCATGGTGAGCCCCCCGCGGCGCGGCCCGTGCCCCGGGGAGGGGGACCGGGATGGCGCAGGCCGCCAGCTCTGGGATGCTCCGTCGGCTTCCCTCCACGTCGGCCCCGGGGCCCAGGCTGCGGGGGCGCCGGGGGACCATCTGCTCCTGCACGCTCCCCAGGCTGCGAAAAACGAGTCCCTGTTTGTTTAAAATGTACGTATTTGTCTAGGAAAACATTTGGGAGGAAATACATCAAAAAATTAACACTGGTTATCTCTGGGCAGTAGGGTTACAAGTGACTTTTATTTCCTTTTCTTTTTTGGCTCTATTTTCATCTGTAGTGAAAAGGTCTTACTTGAATCGTCAAGGAAAAAAATGTTATTTTCTTCCAATCCAAAACAAACCTTCAAGATACTTCCAAACGCTGTGTTTTCCGCGGGGGTGCACAGCTTGCGTGTGGGGTCAGAGCCCAGGGGTGTGGCGGGCCTGGAGGGAGAACCGAGGTCCAGAGCCCTGCAGTTGTGTGCTTCCTGCCCCTGTGTGACCTTGGGCCGCTCGCTGAACTTCTCTGGGCTTCAGGCCCCTTTATCTGGAACTGGGGTGGGGGTGAGGGTCTTGATCCCCCACTGCCTTCCCCACGAGGTGACTGGGTGACTCCAGAGGGTTCCTGGCTTAAACGGCCTTTGAAACCACCAGGGACTCAGTCTGACGGTGGCCAGGAGGAGAGCGTGGGGACTCCTGAGCAGTGGGGAGGTCCACGTGGCTCTTAGAGAGAGTGCTGCTGCAGGCTAGCGATGTGGTGACAGCCATGGGTTCTGGGTTCAAGTCCAGCCCCCATCACTTCCTGCCTTGTGACCCTGGGCAGGACCCTTCACTTCTCGGGGCCTTGGTTCCATCAAGTATAATTGCATATACCCCATAGGGCCCTTGAGAGGATTTAATGAAATAATGCACGGGGAGCACTTAGCACGGCGCCTGTACGTGGTGAGTGACGATGTGACGACACGAAGGTTTTCTGTAGCCACTTCCAGACCCCCTGGGCAGGTCAGGATCCGTGGGCCCCTCCTGGGGCCGGCACCGCACAGGCCTCTGGGTCTCCTGTCCAATGCTGCCCCCTAGTGGTGAGAGCTGCAGGCTGGAAGAAGCTGCAGCTGGCCGGTGCCCTCTCGGGGGGTCTTCCGCCACTGGGGTTGGCGTGCGGGCTGCCCTGCCGCCGCCTGCAGCCCAGATAGAGACCTCCCAAGCTGCAGGCCTGGGAAGAGGGTACAGGGTGGGACGAGGCCCCTGTTCTCCCAGGTGTTCCCAGTGCCCTGTGGACGGACACAGGGGTCCTCCTTGCCTTGGAGCGCTGGCCTCCAGCCTCCCAGGAATTCTGGGGTCTTTAGGAGTGGGAGCCAGTTCACCTCTGCTTCCACTGTCACCATGCCCGGACCCTCAGCCTGCTTCGTGGTTCTGGCCCACGAAGCTCAGGTTCCTGCCTCCTCCTCCCGGCAGGCCTCCCACCGCTCTGCTGGTGTGAATCTCAGGGTGACGGATTTGCCGTAACAGCAGCACAGGCCGTGTCTGCCCAGGGCTTGGAGGCAGAGGGAAGGGGCTTTGCTAAGAGCCGTGACAGCCCCAGTGTTGTTGGCGTGTCCGCCTGACTGGGGGTCCCCCCGTTCCCCGCCATCCACAGAACCTCACAACCTGGAGGCCTCCGGGGCTGCCAAAACAAAATGAAACAAAAGCCCGAGACACTGGCTTCCCCAGAAGCAAAGGCCTCTCTTGGTGCTGGTGATGCCGGGCACCCCAAGGCCCCCGCCCAGCTGCCCGCCCTTGGGGAGGGGACATTTCCTGTAACAGCTCCTGGCCGAACCAGGCATTGCCGCTCATGGTGCTATTTCACCTCTGTAGCGTGGCTCCAGGGGACCACCCTGTGGGTGTATGTAGATATTTTTTACTGTATTATTTTATTGAGATGTAATCCACGTGCCATAAAACTCGCCCTTTAAGCTGTACAATTCAGAGGTTTTCAGTGTGTTCACAGAGTTGTGCAACCATCACCACTGCCTAGTTACAGAAGAGTGTCATCACCCCACAAAGAACCCATGTCCTTTAGTGGTCGGTCACTCCCGTGAGGTGTGTATCCTAACTGTGCCCGTTTCACAGAGGAGGAAAGAGGCTCAGCATGCAGGGGCTCGCCAGAGCTGCCCAGCGGGTTGAGAGGCCGGGCTGGGAGGTGGGCAGTCCCTGTGCTCCGTGATGTGGTGGCGTCACTGGGAGGCTGTGAAAGGACGTCCAGATGCCACCTCCCCGCCATCGCCCATCCCTCAGGCCTTCCCCATGGGCTCGCCCGTCACATGGGGGGTGGGAGGCAGGGCTGCCGGCCCCTCTAGATGCCCGCAGCACCTCCCAGTTGTGATGACCCGAAAGTCTCAGACATCTCCAGGTGTTCCCTGGGGGGGGGTGGTTCAGCCAGGGAGAGAACCACTCCTCTGCAGGCTGTTTCTCAAGAGTCGAGCGTGGGATTCTCTTGTCTCAGCATATCTCTGTGCCGCGGCGACGCACTTCTAACAGAGAGGTTTCTAACAATGGGTTTTGCCATTTTCTGGCTGTGTGACCTTAAACAAGAGACTTAACCTTCCTGAGCCGCAGTTTCCTCATGTATAAAATCGGGACAAGACCTTCCTCCCAGGTGATTGGAGAGAGGTGAGGTGACGGTGGATCGGGCCAGGGACGCTGTAGATACTCAGTGAACGTTAGCTGTTGCTTCCTGATGTTCTAGGCTAGACCCATCCTGTCCTCGGGCCACGCCAGGATGGAGACATGGATTCTCAGGCTGTTCCAATAGTCAGTCATTCTGTGACCTTGAGCAAGTCACTTTTAACCTGCCTGGGCCTCAGTTTCCTCATCTGTAAGAACGACATGGGCCCGGGTAGAGTCAGGCACAGTGGGGGGTGCGTGAGAGGCAGATGGAGAGGTAGGGGACCACGAGGGTGGTCTCGGTTCCTTTTAACAGCCATGCCCTGGGTTGGCACCACTCCTGCCCTCTCGCTGGGGAAACCAGCCTGCCACACAACCACCACCTCCTGGCCCTCCACCATTGCTGCCTTGGACCAGCAGACCAGCCCTTGCCCACAGCCAGCTCTAAGCACTGGGCCTGAGCTCGGGCCACTGGCCACCACTCGTGAGGTCAGGCCCCGCCCGAGCCTGCTGTCTGCCCAGGAGCCTCCCCTCCTCCCCCAGAGCCTGCAGTGTTGGAGGTCGCGTGGAGCCAGTATTTGCCTCATCGGCTCATGCTCCACCTCCGTGCTGGACCTGCCGCCCCCGGCAGCCCTAAGGTCATGAAGGGTCCCAGCCGGTAGTTAGCCCAGAAAGAGGACAGTCAAGTCACTTTGTAGCCAGTGTGACACGCGTTTGGTGCAGACGCAGCATCCGTGCACCTGGGGTCCACATGAGCACGAGCCTTCTTATGTCTGTGTGGAATGTTCCTGCCCTGGGATCTTCCTAGCCTTTGGCCAGGGAGACGTTCCCTAGACAAGCAGGAATCCCTTGAATTGCCAAAGATTCCCTTAAGCAGCCCTCAGAGCATCCCTCCGGGGCCAGGCTCGCTCTCTAACGTGGAAATACGTGTGGCCTCCAGATCAGCAGACTCTCCAGGCCGTGGGAGCTTTCACCAGCAATACCCAGAGCGGGGCGAGGGCCGGGCCCTGCACTGCTCTCCCCGGCCTGCCTCCGGGATCTTATGGCCCGATCTTAGGGAGGACGTAAATAATCCTAACTTACTGAACATGACAGCAGGCCGACAGTGTCCTGGGCCATCATGTGAATTACTCCTCATCTAACTCCGACTTGAGAGGGAGAAACTGTTTCAGAATAACAGTTGCTAACTTGGTGGAGTAACTTGCTCAAGATCACACAGCAAGTAAGTAGTAGGAGTGGAGTTTGAACCCAGTTCTGTCTGACTTTTGTCACATGGGGGTGTTTGAGCCAACTTAGCACTTCCCAGCAGCTCGACCGGGTTCAGAACCCTCAGGAAGGGGCGGAGGCTCAGAGAGGAGAGGGTGTCAGAGCTCCAGGAGATCTCCCGGCATTAAATTGCATTTAGTGGAAGAGATTAGTCAGTGAAATGCTGTGTAGATTGCCACGGGGAGGTGACCCAGTGCAGCGTGGGTGTGTGTGTGCATGCATGTGTGCGTGTGTTAAATCAGACTTGAGCTGCCTTGTTTGCAGTTCACGTCTCTGTTGTCGCTCTGTCTGGGAGGTGTAAAATCATGAGTGGGCGGGGTGGGCAGTGTGCGAGAGGTTCCCGTGCTGCAGAACTCACAGGTGAACCACCCCATCCTGCAGGTCTCACCATGGGGACCTCCCCATTGTCCCCTAACAATGATGTCACGCTGCCTGCTGAGTTAGGAGGTGCCGCTCCCAGGCCCTGCCCCAGGTGAGGCCCCACCTGGGAGAAGAAAGCCGGGTGGGGACAGGAGAGTGGACTGCCCAGGCCTCTTTCTGTGCTGCCTTAAAGGACAGCTTGTTTCAGGGGGCGGCTTGGACCTTCCTGTGCTTTCTGTGTGTGTGGCTGGGAATGTTTGCACGAGGGCAGAGCTGAGGGTTAAATTACCACATGATGGCAGACCTGCCTGGTGCTCATTTCTCTCCCTGGAGTCCACCTTCTGGGCACCCACGATGGACGGGGCAGGAGGAAGCAAGGGAGTGGGGTACCCCCCGCCAAGAAGCAGCTGCCCGCATGGAGTGGTGCAGGATGGAGGGCCGGGAGATGCCTGTGCACCTGGAGGGGAGCACAGGTGCGGTCCCAAGTGAGGTGTAGTGGTCCAGGGGACGTGAGTCCCTGTGATGCTGGGCCTGCTACAAGCACATGGCAGCCCTGAGACATGCAGCCCCGCTCCTCCTTCAGCAGAGGGGTCGCCGCATCACTATTCTAGTAACAGACTGGTTCCCGGGCCATCAGCCCAGACAGAGCAGAAGCCTGCTCCCATTTACTCTGCAGATGTTTGCTGAGTGCTTCACTGGGTGTGCCCAGCCCCAAGCCAGGTGGAGAGGATTCCGTGGTGACCAGACACGCCCCCATTCTCTGCCTCGTGGACTCAGCGTCTGCATCACTTATGCTGGGCGTTTCCTTGCCCCAGAGGAGCGTGGGCACCGTGGAACCCACTTGGGGCTCACCGTCAGGCAGCCAGGCTTGGGGCCAACTTGGATGTTGTGCCTGCTGTGCACTCCTGGAGAAGTCACTTAACCTCTCTGAGCTTCTGGTTTCTCCTCTGTCAAGCACAGATAATCCCACACTCCCTACTGCAGAGCCCCCGCTGTTGCACTGAGTACATGAGGGTTTTTCTAAGGCAAGAGGAGATTATTACCTGGCTGCTGACACCTTCCCCCACCTCCCTCCCTCCCTCCCTCTCTCTGCTGTATGGATTTATATTCCCTGGGGACTGGTGGTGGAAGGGCAGTGATTTCACAGACTCCTGGGGTGTCTGAGCTGGAGGAGCCCTAAAGATCACTTGGTCCAGGCTTTCCATTGTATAGATGGGGAAACTTAGGCTCAGAGAAGGCAGTGACTAGTCTAAAAAAACAGAGGTCATCCATGTGATGAGGGTCTGTCAGGCTTTAGGCCAAGGACTGTCCATTTATCAGCTGGAATCTCTTTCTCAAGAACCCCTGCTCTGCCAGGAGGAGGCTGGGGCCTTGAGCAAGGTATAGAAAGTTCTGAAGCTAGGAGAGACAAGATGAGTTTTTTTCATTTTACCCGTGTTCATATTAAAGGCAAAGCCAGCGCTCACAGTGGCTCTGCCATCTGTAGTGACCCCCTGAGGAGTGGGATTCACTGGAGATCTCAGTGTGAGACCCTTGGGCCCCTCCCTGTGTCCCCCATATGTCCCAGCCTGAGCCTGGGGAGCCAGCTGGGAAGTAGAAATTGACTGTGATGAAAAGAACATACATTAATACATTTCTGATATGTGCCCCTTTTCTCCCCAAAATAATTTGAGATTGCTTCTAATAAAACCCCACATACCCTGGGGGGAGATAAGCCAAAGCTGAGAGAGATCTCAGACGCCAGGCAGAGAAAGGAAGAGCTGGCTGACTCTCCTGTCTGCCGCAACTCGGGTCCACACCTGTCCCTGGGCCTCCTCGTGTCTGCGCATTCTCATCGTGTGATCCGGGGAGCCGGGTTGAGGACTCGCCCGTCCCCCTCCTGCACTGCGTAGCACCTTGTGAAGGGGAGATAGCAGGTTGAATTTGGCAAGAGTTAAGGTGATGGAAGCCAAAACACCGTTTTCTTACAGTCTCATTCAAATCGCAGCTGGTCCTTGGAGAACCCAAGAGAATGGGTCCTAAGTGCATCCTTGGCTCCGCTTCCTCTCCGTATTTCTGGTGTCACTTTGTGTCAGCAGGAACTGAGGGGTAACTCCAAGGTGGGCCCTCGGGAGCCTGCAGTGCGGGTGCTCGACGAATGATGGGCACGCGATGCAGAGCTGGGGACGCCCTGGCCCAGAGGTCAGGTTCATGCCTTTCTCACGGTGGTGGGTGATGGCTGAGCAGCAGGCCAGGAGGTCTCCTCGCTCACGTCATCCTCTTCCTGTCCCCGGCTCTCTCTCCAGGCCAAGCAGTCCTTAGCCACGCTGACCAAGGATGTCCCCAAGCGGCATTCACTCGCCATGCCGGGCGAGACGGTGCTCAACGGCAACCAGGAGTGGGTGGTGCAGGCGGACCTCCCGCTGACCGCAGCCATCCGGCAGAGCCAGCAGACACTCTACCACTCGCACCCCCCCCACCCTGCGGACCGGCAAGGTGGGTCCAAGCACAGCCACGCTGTTGGGGGGCTTCTGAGGAGACCATGTGACCCAGAGAGGGGGCAGCCTCTTTCTTCACCCTGTAACAGCTTAGTGAGGTGTGGGGCAGAGGCCACGGGCTCATGTAACTGAAGAGTCTAAGAGATGGACATCAGGCATGGCTGGATCCTGAGGTTCAGACAATATCTGGGTCTGTCTAACTGTCTCTCCATCTCTCAGCTCTCCCTGCCTCCATTTGCCCTCATCTTGAGACTCTCTCTTTCTGTGAGTCAGCAAAACAGTCCCCAGCAGTTTCAGGCTTTTACGGCCCTTACAGCTCACAAGTCTTGGGGAAAAGAAACTCTCTCTTTCCGTGTCCATAGCAAATCCCATAGAAGGACTCTGATTGGCCAGCCCAGGTCACATGCCCATCCCTGGACCAATCACTGTGTCTAGGGAGGGAGTATGCTGATTGGCCAGCCTGGGTCACATGGGCATGTGAGGCAGTGGAGTTCCTTGATTGACAGCTCCACCCAATCACAGGATGTCCGGAGAGGCCGACATCAATGTCGCAGGTGTTCCCTACTGGCTGCTGGGCAGCATCTGCACCTACTACCCACGGGATAAGCCCCGAACTCCTCTGCACACCTGCGGCCCACCTGCCTCCATTCCCTCGCCCTCCTGGGAGTGGCTGCCTTTGTGTAGCAGATGCAGGTTGGGGACCATCAGCTGGCCTTTGGAGCCCTCAGGTCCTGAGATGAGAACCCAAGCCCCGACTCCAAAGCTACCACCCCACATCCCCCCGTTAGATCATGTGGCCATTGGTGACAAGGATATAGGTAATATAGCCTCAGCTGATCACATGCTGCCTGCACACAGTAGGCCCTCAGTCAGCCTTGTTGAACAGAAAGGGTTTCCTCCATCCATCGGCGTCTGCAGACTGGAGAGTGTTCTGCTGGGGGCCTCAGGCGGGCTTCTGGGCTCTGCCTTCCCAGCCAAGCCTTCCATTCAACAACTATTTATTGAGCACCTACTGTGTGCCGGCACCGTGAGCTCAGGGTTCAGCGTGGACAGGACCCCCAGGGTGCCTCCCGCATGGAGTTGACATTGTAGGTGTGAAGTCAGACCACCCACATGTAAATAAGCTGACACATAGAGTGATTACAGATCATAATTAGTGCAGGGAGAGAAATCAATAGAAAACAGGCACTTTGATGGGGAAAAGACAGTGGGGAGAGCCGATCATGGGGGAGGCCTCTCGGGACAGGCTAAGACCCAAACAGTGAGATGCACCCGGTGGGCAGGACCAGCATAGGCTGAGGTGAGAGAGATGGGCTGAGTCGGTGCTGTCGGAAGGCTGTGTGAGTCCAGCACGGGACAAGGGGTGAGCCGAGGTGGGTGGGTGGGCAGGGCCACATCCCGTTGGGCCTCGGAGACCAGGAGGAGGAGCGTTCGTTTATCCCCCAGGGTGACCAGATGGCTGGCTCTCACTGCAGCGTGAGAAGTGGAGGCAGGGAGGCCAGCTGGTGGACGCCATGGTCTTCCAGGCGAGAGACAGCGGTGGCCTGGGCTCAGGTGGTGGCAGCGGGGTTGGAGAAAAGCAGACAGATTTGGGTGTGTTTGGAGGCGCTGCTGATGGGTGGGGGTGGGGGTGGGAAGAGAGGAGCCGGTGGTGGCCTCTAGGCTCCTTGCTTAGGAAGCTGCTGTTGACCAGTGGTTAGGATTGCACCAGGTGGAGGGAACGTCCAGGCGGTGGGACGTTGTGAGGACAGTCACCAAGGTCCCTGGAAACTCCTGCCTCTTCTTCTCCTTAACCCTGCTTAGGAGGAGGCCTAAGTGGATCCAGAGGCCGTGGGAGATTCTTCCTGCCAGCTGCTCTCTGGTGGCGTGTGGGGCTGTGGAACAGAGGGGCGGAGAGCTGGGCTAGTCTCTGGGCTAGCTCTCCGTCTCAGTGTTCTCATCTGCATGATGGGGGCACTGGGTGGAGTCATCTAAGAGGCAGTGGAGGCGAGGACAGTCCCCCATCCCTCACTGACTGCCCACCCCTGCCTTCCAGCTGTCAGGGTGAGCCCCTGCCACTCCCGGCAGCCCTCCGTCATCTCCGACGCGTCTGCCGCCGAAGGCGACCGGTCATCCACGCCAAGCGACATCAACTCCCCTCGACACCGGACGCACTCCCTCTGCAACGTAAGGCCAGCAGCCGCGGGGCCTGGGCCCGGGCCCTGCCCGGAACCGCGGGGCGGGGCGGGGCGGAGGGGTGAAGACGCACCCGCTCTTTCCTCTCGTCCACCAGGGAGCACTGTGGCGAAGGCATTGCCTGTTCTGTTCTTTCCTTTTGCAAGAAGAGATGGAGGTGGGGAGAGAAGGAAATGAGGCCCGTGTGCTCCTTGTGTCCGGGAGGGCAAGGAAAACCCAGAGGAAGGCGGGCCTGGGTCGGCCGTGGGGTCTGTGCAGCCCGGGGTTCCCCTTGGTGGGACCGTGGGCTTCTCCTCCCAAACCTTACCCTCCGGAGCTCGGGCCTTACCAGCACCACTTCACTTCCCTGTAGAGCCAGCTCTCAGTCCTTCATCCAGGAAAGAGCCGGATTTTTTTTTTTTTTTGAATTTCCAGGAGCTTTGGCACACATTGCCTCTAGAGAGGTGTCCTGTGAATTTGTTCTAAGTTTGTTTGCTTTGCTTATGTAATCAAACACTTTCTGATTGCATACTGGGTACCAGCTACCAAGAGGCAGGTCCCTGGTCGCCTAACTCTTGATGACGAGTACGGCAGACAGGCTCCCAAGGAACGAGGGGTGAATGTAGGTGGGACAGGAGGACGCCATGTCGAGGCTCTAACAGGAAACACTGGGGTCAGGGTGTGGGGTCACTTTTCATTTTTGTTCTGTCACACGGTTAGTAATACAGACGGCTCCCCTGCCATGTCCTGGAGACAGAGACACAGTAGGGTTAGGTCTTCAAATGCAGAGGAAGGCTTTCTCAAAATCTCAGTTAATGTTGCTTTATTAACCAGCAAGACAGATAATAAAAAAGAAATGAGGTGAATGTAGTGGGAGAGAAAGACAGAATAACCATTACTTGCCGATGACATGATTATCTACCTGGAAAACTCAAGAGAATAACTTGAAAAGCTATTAGATCTAATAATAAGCTGGGACATAACAGTACTGGCTGAAAATCAATTTATAAAAATCAATGACTCTTCTATATACAAGTAATCATAATGGAAACACTTTTTTCCATCTACAGTAACAATGAAAAGAGCTTACAGAAATAGCCAAGACTAAACTTACAATGAGTGGCCACAGCCTGGTGACATGCTGGCCTGGGCCTTTCGCAGCCCACATCAGGATGAGGAGAAGGTCGTGTGCAGGCCAGGCCCCTCTCAGGGTGGAATTCTTTTTTAACTGGGGCTTTAAGGAATTCTTTTTTAACTGGGGCTTTAAGGAAGAGTGGGTTCTACTCTTGTCCCCAGGAGAGGACCCTGGTGACAAAGTCTGTCTTGACTAACAGAACCAAGGCCACTAGAGGGACCCCTGACGTCTGTCCTCTGGTTCTGAGGGACCACCATTGAGTATACCTACAGCCAGCAGTGTCCTTCATTCCTACAGCACAGGCTAAACACCCCATAGTGTCCGTGCGTGCCCCAGACGAGAATACCTTCCCAAGGGCCATATTTTTTTATATTCTCACGGTGGGCCCAGGGGGGCTCTGACAGCGGAAATGCTGCTGGAAAATTGATTCTGCCAAAAGGGTCTCTGAAGGCCATTTGGCACAGGCCCAGCTTTTGCCCACTTGGCATTGGCACATACCTGCTGCTACAGGGGCGGGTCCAGCACATTTGTTTCCAAGCTCACCTTACACAGGGCCCTGCTGCCAGGAGGTGGTGCTTTGATAAAAGCCAGTTGTCTGCATACGGGCATTTGCTGCTGTGGGCACTGGCCTCATTCTCTTCCCCGTAAATTTGGCAAAGGTGCCCCTACCCAGGGTAGACCTGTCTTAGCTGCCTGCCAGTGAGTTCTGTTTGCAGACCTTGAGATGGGACTAAAGACTAAACTACCACGTGTCCCATCCCCGCCCTCCCTCAACCACCTTCATCCCACACCTCAACAGATGTGCACACAGGTAAGCCAGGAAGAGCCTGGAAATAACTCCAGGTGACCCTCTGTTCTCAGGCATTTGACCTGGCACCAGTGAGAACAGCCTGGTCTGGACTAAGGACCCCTCCCACCTGGCATCCTCTCATTTACTGCCCACTAATTTAGAGAAGAAGTGAGGACTCAGCACAGAGAGGCTGGAGAAAGCTGATGGACGTTGGCCCCAGTGACACATCCTTTGTTTCTTCATGGGCATTTTGCCTGCAATTCAGGAAACAACCACCAGGGGTCTCCCTAGTAGTGACTTTTGTGATGGAAATGATCTGTTTGCCCCAGGCAGGGCAGACTGATTCTGGGATGTAGTGAAGGCTTTTGCACACCCACCTTTGTACACCCACGAGGAGGAGCACTGGACCAGGAGGAACCAGACAGTCCTGAATCTGAGCTGTAGCTCTGCTTTCAATGAGCTCCATGATGTGGAGCCTCTCTTTATATCTGTATCTGAGGCTGAGTCCTGCCTGCCCCCCCCAACAAAATGAGATTCATTGTGGTGTTTGTGGGGGAGGTTAGAGGCTACATAGTCTCCCGAATCTTCTATCCCAAAATTCTTTATTTTTGTGCTTTTTTCTATAAAATCGTATTTCTTTATGAAAAGCATGAGGTATAACCAACCTCCAGTTGTAACACACTGGACCAACTGGGACAAGAACTTGGAAGCCTTTGAGTGACTGATCTGTTAGTCAGAGGGTGTTGGGGGTCAAGAGGCCAGAGCAGGCAGGAAAGCACCCCAGGACATCTGGCCGGGACCCTGGTCCAGGCAGCATCTCAGTGAACCCCAGGCGCCATCACTGCGCCATCTGGGAGTGTTCAGGGGGTGGGGGTGGGTTCCCCACTACAGATACAGGGCGGTCCCTAAGGGATGGCTTCCTTCCACAGAAGACCCCAGGGGCCACCCCTGCTCTCATGTGTTGTGTGTCTCTGCTGTTTCATCTTCCTCCTCTCCTTTGGCTACAGGGCGACAGTCCCGGCCCGGTTCAGAAGAACCTGCACAACCCTATTGTACAGGTAGGTGTGCCTCCCCTGGTCCTCCCTCCACCCCAGCTTGGCCGTGACTTCACCCCTTTTTCCCCTGGGCCCTTGGCAGCCCCACTTCCATACTTGGGCACCCAAGGCAGAGAGGAGTTAAGCCACTGCCCGAGTCCCACGTGGGTGGGTGCCTGGGCCAGGCTCCGCACCTAGGTCTGCCCTTCCGTGTCCTCTCCCGGACCTGTGGACCCACTATGTGCATCACACACCTTCCGTCCTGCTGCCCTCGTGAGCGGCTGCTCCTTGCGGCCAAAGGCCGATGACCCAGGCCTGGGGCTCTTTTGGCCCCTTGCTGCAGGAAACTTTTTTTTATTCATTTTAAACCTTTCAATACTCTATCATCAGAGTGAGGAGAGGGCTGCAGGGAAAAAAACAACCTGAATTTGAGGGTCAGAAGGGGTCTCTGAGATCAGCTGTTTAATCCTGGGGCTCCCACATGATCTATATGCTGCTCGTCTGCATCAGGGTCCACCAGGGAAGACTGCTCAAATGCAGATTCCTGGGCCCTTCACCCTGGAGATTCTGATCCACCAGGTGGGGGTTGAGGCCTGGAATTCAGGTAATTCTGATGTGTTTTGGGAACCATTCGACTAGTGTAACTCCCCACCTGTGTGACAGGTAATGCCACCCCATGTTTATATAAAGTACTTGACAGTTTGCAAAGCTCTCCTGCAGACACCACCCCCCAATCTCCGTGGTTATCCCGAGTCAAGAGGATATCATCACCACTATCATCATCATCACTGTTATCCCCACATCACAGAGAGAAGGCTGGGCTCAGAGAGGCTGGGGGCTCTCCAAGGTTCCCTGGTAGTGACATCATCAGGACTGGAACCCAAGCCCCAGCATCTCTCGCCTACCATGACCAGCCCTGCCTCTTGTCCAGGGCCTTAAGGTCCAGGGTCCATGCTCTTGGCTGACACAAAGCTCAGGTTTCCTCCCCGCTCATGTCCCGGGCTCTCCCAGGGCCCCTTTTCCAAGGGGACTTTTTCACAGGGAACTTGTGCACTTGCTGCAGTGACCCTGCAGACAGGGCCTGTGGCCCGGCTGTGGCTGAGAGCATGGACACGCTCCTGCCAGCCCTCCGGAAGCAATCGAAGGTGGTGGGCAAATTGAATTTAAAAGAGAAAAGTGCAACCACCACCAGCCAAGGGTCACTAATGCGTATTATGCGCCAGGCACCGTGCTAAGCGTTTTTATCCTCACTGACATCCCCATGAGTCTTGGGTGGGTCCTGTTGGTGTCCCCGAGAGGCTCCGCATGGCCCAGTTCGCTGAGTGAGTGAGGGGCGGACCCCGGCATTCTGAACCCCGGGGGGCGCCCAGCCCCTCTCCCGTGGCCGTCCCCGCCCCTCCGCCGGCACGGGCCTCTGCGCCCCGCTCAGACGGGCTTTCTTCTTCTCCCCGCCTCCGCCACGGCCCCGACTCCGCAGTCACTAGAGGATCTTGAAGACCAAAAACGGAAAAAGAAGAAAGAGAAGATGGGATTCGGCTCCATCTCGCGCGTCTTCGCCAGAGGGAAGCAGCGGAAGTCCCTCGACCCCGGCCTCTTTGATGGTACCGCCCCTGATTATTACATAGAGGAGGACGCGGACTGGTGATACCCGCCTCCCCTCGCCTGCGGCCCGGCGGGCGTGTCTGTGCGTGTGGACGTGCGTGCGAGCGTGCGAGCGAGCCTGGGGTGCGCGTCTGGGCGTGCGTGGCGGTGCGCGTGCGCGCGAGCTCTCGCACACGTGGGTGCTGGGCGCGGCCGGGCGCCGACGCGCGGTGCCCCCTCCCCCTGCGTCGCCACCTCTGTAATTGATGTACATACTACAAACGTGTGTGAACCTGTCAACCGTTGTCTTGGGAGCGATGCAGCTGTGTTGTTCATCTGGGTTTCTGTTTCTGTTTCTTTTCAATGTTTTTTTTTTTCTTTCTTTTTGTTTGGTTCGTTGGGTTGTTTTCTTTCCCCCCTTTCCCCACCCCTCCTTCCTTTTTACGAAACTTGAAAACTTGAAGGACTGCTGTGTATTTGTAAATAACAAAATTATTGTGCACTCCGTGCTTGTACATGTCCCCTGTCCAAACCGCCACTTCTGGAGCCCGTCTCCCCGAGGATGTGGTCTGTTTTTGATGTCCCCCTCCCCTGCCCCCGGTGTGAACGTCTGGGACCAGACCCAGTTCTCGGGGCGCGCCCAAGTCACTTTAAGCCCAAAACGCCATCGTCATCAGGGTAAGGTCTGCTGTCTGCAGAGACTCGAGAGCCCGGCCAGGGGGCCTCGTCTGGGCTCGGTGTGTCAAATGGGCTCTTTTTAACGGCCTGCCAGTTCTTTAATTGTGTTGCCGTTTCTTTCTTTATGGAAAAAAAGAAAACTGTTCCATTTAATTTATTTGCACAGATGCAAAAGACTTCTTCTGTCTGAATTATTACATAAATGTTGGAATGTATATTTTTCCACGGGGCGGGCGGGATGTCTCTGTTGACTTGTCTTTCCTCTTACCACGCTGCTGCGAAACTGTGCGAGGTAGAGTTAGGGTGGCCGGAACCCAGGGACCATCGGATTTCAAAGCTTGCTTTTTTCTGTTCCTTCTTCTGTCTCTCTCCCGCGTTCTTCCGCCCCTGCATCGAAGTGCGCTCCCCCTTCTTCCCACCCGTAGCTCTCTCCAGGCCTTTCTGTGTGTATTTATTTCTCTGAAATACAGAACACTGACCTCAGTGAGCAGAGCGCCTACTCTAATGGTCACTTCCTCTTGGGTCTGTCTTTTGAGAGAGGTTAAACACAAGGGAGACGGCCAACCGCATGACCACAGGGTACGACCGCAGGGACCCTCGGCCCCAGTCGGTTCCAGAGGGTCCTCGAGCCGCATACGTTCCTCCCTGCAGCTGTGTCTTTCTCGTCCTTGGTCTGTTCTGCACGTTGGCCAAGCAGGTGTCACTGGGGCAGGCGCCTGTCTCAAGGGGAGGGCTGTTGGGGACACAGGATCCAGCACCAGAGCCTCTGCCCTCCTCATTCTGGTTGGTTCCTCCAGCTGCACTGAACAGAATCCCTTGGGATCCCTTGGGCCCTGTCCTCCAATTTGTCAGAGCAGCCTAAGCTGGCACACCCCAGGAGAGAAGGGGGGCGGGAACTCGGCCTGTTTGGGGAGCAGTGTTGGCCCCAATGAGGCTTCACCAGCAAAGGAACCGTGTGCATTGTAACGCCGGGGATGGAGACCACGCAGGCCTCCCACTGCCTAAAACTAGCATTCCCTTTTGACCTGTGAATCCCCCCTCTGCTCCACCCTAACTACTAACGCTGCTCAGCTCCCGCGCCCTCTAAACAACAGTAGTTGCGCTTTCTGCTAACAAGTAACATTTTCAGCTCTTACAAAGAAACAAGTAGGTTTTAAAATGCTGGAGCATCTCTATCAGAATGCACAGGATATTTTGTCCAAAGTCTCTAAAACAGACAGAAAAGCCCCATGAGGGCTCCCTTTCCTTCTGCCCTGGTGGGGGGTTGGGAAGGAGAGGCAGGGTGGGTACCTAACAGGGGTCTTCCTGGCCCTCTTTGGCTAAGCTGTTGAGCCGAGCCTGGCGGTCAGGGAGAGCGGCCGGAGGGCGTCTCTCTCTACGGAGAGAGATTTTAGAAAATACTTTTCTCCCCTGTGAATTTTTTTTTCTTTTGGTTGTTTTTTGTTGTTTTCCCTCTACTTACGAGAAAGTCAGATTGCAACCACTCCTGGTAATGATTTAGGAGTTCCTTCTCATTTCAGTTTTTGTAAATTAGGAGATAATTCTAAGAGTTACTAAGGATGATTTATTTAAGAGAACTACGTCAAATAGCAAATGAGTTATGGGTAACATTAGATGAAAATAACCTTTCCCATGGGAAAGGTTTCTCGAAGGCATGGATGCAAATATAAAATATAAAAAAAAAAATCTAAATAAAGCTTATTTTAAAATATTACCGAATTCGATGTTATTTGATTGCTTCTATCTTGCTCCGGGTGGGAGGCCAAGCCTCGCATGACCTGCTCCTTGGAATTCCAGGGCTGGGTCCTGAGGGGGTGACGGGAGGGGCCGAGGGAAGCTGGCTGGATTCTGGGCCCATGGAGGATGGCCTCCAGAAACTTCTTGGTCTTTGCAGCCCTGACTGTAATTTGGAGGAGCTGCCGGCATCCAGGGCTGCCGTGGTCCTAACGCACCACCTCCGAGCCTGGCGCCCTGGCCCTGTGTTATCCAGCCCAGCGGCCCGGTCAGCTTGTTCATCTGCTTCCTTCTGCCCCCCGGCGCTCCTTCCAAAGGCCCAGAGGGCGGGCCTGTGAGTTTGGGGCGTGTTACTTCCTGCAGACCTCCGTGGGCCTCTGCATCGTCCCAACTTCCCACCTTCCCTAGGGCTGAGAGGAGCTTAAGGGAGAAATTGAGGGGGTTACAGGGCTTCCCTGATGAAGCCAGAGTGGCCAGGCTTTTCTGAGCCCCATGAGATTCCCCCAGAGACAAGGCCTGTGAAACTCTGCAGTGTGGCCCAAGAAGAGGCCACCCAGATTCCCCGATCCCTAATTGTACCCGATGCCCTCAACTTCTATCTCCCAACTTAAAATCCTCTCTAGCAATAAGACTGATGGAAGACAGGCCTTTTAGCTCCTCTGTCATTTCTGCTGGAAGAAAGCTCAGAGCTCCATGATGTGTAGACCATGCCAGGAAGTTGCAGAGCTCAGGACCGCGAGGAACTTAGGGGCGTCGGCCCCAGCAGTTCTCACCCTGGCCACACGTTAGAATCGCCTGGGGAGCTTTCAAAAAAAATGACCGGTGGCAGGCCATACCCCTGACTCAGGGTTGCTAAACCTTCTCAGGTGATTCTAAGGTGGAGCCAGGATTGAGAACCACTGGGCGGATCTGAGGACCCCAAGTGACCCAGACACGTGCCACTGCTCCCCTCTTCCTGGCCTCGTGCAGACATCACTAATTGATTAAAGAGCGCTTCCCCCAGCCTACAGTAGCCTCTGAGTCTTCACTTTACAAAGCCTCAGACAGCCACTGCCAGTCAGTCAGAGTTGGCACCCGAAACTAACCCAGCCCCTACACTGGACAGATGGGGAAAACTTTGGCCCAGAAAGCAGTGACTTGGCCAAGATCCTAGCTGTCACTCCTACAATCCTATGACGTTCTCAAGGGCTGGATCACACCTTATTCAAATCTCTGTAGCTCGACTCAAAAGCCACACACCTCCTTTGTTAATCTTCTCTGAGACCTTGCCCCAAATGGTCCAACTTCAAGTGGCACCTATGAGGCAGAAATTGGAGAAGGGCTGCCTGGGGCATCCAGGGTCAGTGTACAGCCGCACGGGTTGTGAACTGCATTACTTCAGAAGCCACTACTGTGTGAATGGCGCCCTGAGTTGTGCAGTGCACAATCTGCATGGCTGTACTGTGTGGTCCTTCTGTGTGCTCTCTACCCATGCTGGCAGGCTCCAACAGGCGTAACCTAGTAATAGTAATAACAATATCTAACACTTATTAAGCACTTACCATGGGCCAGGGTCCATGCTGTGCACTTTACATGTATTAACTCAGTTAACCCTCCAACAGCCTACCTTATCGATGAGAGAGGTTAAGTAAATCGTCCAGCGTCAAGGAGCTAGTCAACAGTGGAACTGGGCTTCAAACCTAGGGAGTCTATAGTGCCCTGAACCACTCACCGTCTGGGCAGTGAGGGGCTGAGACCGAGCATGTGGGTGTCTTTGGTGCCTCAGCCAGGCCGGGTTTAAACCTCACCCGACCCCCACCCTCGCCCACCAGTGGCCTCTGGCGCAGCCCAGCACTTCCTTGCTTTTGTGACTGAGTCTATATCGTCAGCCTTTCATCCCTGGGCCCAGAAAACCCACCCCCAGAGAGGAGCTGGTGGGGAGGGCAGAGCAGAAATGAGCAGTTGTCAACAGTGGTCTCCATTCCAGGCAGAAGATCCCCCATTTGCCCTGCAGGGGAACCCCTCGCCGTCCCACGGCTGCCGCATCCTGAGGGTTAGCTCTGCCCCCAACACTGGGTGAGGGTCTTCTCCTGGCCACAGGATGAGCTGGGGGCCCAGGAGCCGCCCCACACCAGTGCCGCAGCAGGGTGGGGCTGCTCTCAACCTGGGCTCCCGGGGAATCTGGGTGTAGTGGGGCTGCAACGTGGGGTCATCAGCCCTTTGACAACTTGAGTTTAAAAATATCTGTGGGCCCTCTCACCAAAACCCAGCATTTTCCCAAAACGGGCCTCACGACCTCCCACCACAGCCCGTCTGCTCTGAACAAATGGCTCTTAAGCTTTTTCAACTCAAACCCCACTGGATGGGGCAAAACATACCACAGTCCCCGACTCCCGCCTGTTCGCGTACTCCAGGGGGGAAAGAACACAGCGACCATAAAGGATCAAGGGGGAATACATATCATTAACTTATAAAAGGATAGATTCCTGATTTTATGTTATGAAAGAATGACCTATAAACTTGAAAATAGCTAAGGAGTTTGATCTTGACTGTATGTTGGAAGCTGTTTAAATATCAAAGTCATAGCACATCACCAGCGAAGTGTCACTGTTCAGGCAAATTGAGGGTA